TAGGGCAGTGCTACTGACGGAACTTGTCTTTACGCCGTTCCCAAAGGGGGGGGGGGGGGGGTATTAACATGTTCTTATACACAGTTGAATTGTTAATGGGCTGATTTATCAAAGTCATGTTCATACTGTGCCTGAACAACATAGGTAGAACTGCTGCTTTTTCTTTATTCATCCTTACTATCGTCATTTTCCCTCTACTTCTTTTTATGTTTGTCTCTCTTTTGTGAACTGCTATTTCCGGGGTACCTTGATAGTCGAAGCAGACTTTGTGCTGTTGAGGCTAGGGGTGAGCAAAGTAAGTATGATTCCCCGTTTAGATTTCTCTGTTGACATCCACCCCTTGGCACTCGTATGACCTTATGTAGTTGCGAGCGCCGTAAAACCTCTACTAAAACTAAACTAAAACGAGGCACGGAGTTGATGTACACAAAACTTACCATTCCCAACACAGCCATTTCCTTCCAAAATGGATTCAAGTGCCGACTGCCGCACATCGCGGTTGCTGTGTTGACATGTTTTTGAATCCTACAGACATTGAAATTAATGTCTAGAGCTTTCTAGGTCTATCAGTATCAACCTTTCCAAATCTACAACGTCTATTACATTCGGCACTCTTTTTCTTTCAAATATGACCCTGACCTTGTGACTCGCATTCTACATTAAGCCTTGTTCACATAAGACGGTTCGACTCGTGTTGCAACTGGGCAACATTGCAACACTTTGAATAACTCATTCTTGTACGTACTTGACAGTATAATGTTAGTTTTTTAGAACCTGTAAAGTGGCAACTTGCATTGTATGCTTCCGAGGAAGTTGAGATTGATTCAGAATGCTATCAGGTTTACTGGGGTAGATTGCACAGCGCATAGGGCTTGAAGTTGAGCGGGGGTTGGCGATGCACAAATTATATACAATGTGATTTTTTAAAAAACAACTGAACAACTTTTTTCTGAATAGCCCACACAAAATTTTTACTAGAATGTTGTAATTTGGAACAGATATAATTCATCCAAAAGGAATTTGTTTTACATAAAATTCATTTTAAAAAACATGTTTTCAAAAACGGAAATGGCTTTTATAAATATCACCTATAAATGCAAAATACACCAATTTAAAAGATCTTGTAAGGAGAGTCACGAAATGATTGGTTTGTTGTTTTCTCTTCCTTTTTTAAATCCAATCTTTCCATCCATATAGTATTTAAAAATTTGGCGCTCTTATGATCTTATGCAGTTGCGAGCGCCGTAAAACCTCTTCTAAAATAAAACAAACATTTAAACAATATTTTTTCTCTTACAGAGTTTTATAAAATATTTGTACAATTGTGGAATTTCCAGAACCAGTGCTCTTTATGTCCTCCTTTGGACTCGATACATTTTAACGCACCCTTCGTAATGTTCAGGGGTGACCAAACACAAAAACCCACCCAACCATGGGTACTCAAAGCCGCGCACACTTTGCACCTTACAGTATGGAGTTGTTCCTAGAGAGACACAATAGGGACTCTGGTGAGGTTGTGCAA